TGGATATGCCAGCTGAAAATGTTATCTCAACTTTCCTAAGGTAAGAGTGTAGCAGAGGAGAAGAGAGGAGAGGACAGGACAGGACAGGATTTATTGGAACTTAATAGGCCACTAGCATGGGAAACCTATCAGTGATCAACAAGGAACCCTATCCCTACAAAAGATTGGAAATGGAATACTGACACCCATATCCAAATATTTCTATAGGTACTTTGTGATGTGTGTGTGCATGTGTGTGTGTGTGTGTGTGTGTGTGTGTGTGTTGTGCTGTTTGATGCAATATCCTGTATTCTAATGTAATGTCTTTTAATTTTATTCTATTGTGTGGTCTTTGCATTCTTGGTAGTGCTTTATTGATAATTCTATTGTTTTCTTTTTCTGTCCCTATAAGTTCATACTTGTAATATTTGCCTAATATTTACATTTCTACCATTGCTTGGTTATATATTTATATCTTGTATAACTTCTTGATGAAATGATAATGTTGTCACAATGTAATTTGATTTAAACTCTACTATGTTAGCTATACCTATAGCTGTTGATGGTCCCATTTGTTTTGACTTGAATAATATGTGTGTCCTTAAAATTGAGGTGAGTCTCTTTTATCGAGAAATAACACCTCTTAGTCATGGCATTTGGATAATTTCATCTTTCTTATTTGAGGTATCAATGACTTTCATTTAGTATTTTATTGAAAGGCACAGTATTTATCTATGAGTGATATTTGATTGTCTTTGGGTTGTGTTGCATAATTTTGTTTCTTGTAGTCTAATCCATTTCTCTGTTGATTTTGTGCTATAATGCGGTTTGAAACTCTGTTTTCCACTAACCATCTTCTATTTATTTAATTTGTACTTACCATGAGTGTAGCGGGTAGCTGTTCCAGTGTTGACCTGGAGGTACTACCCCCAATGAGCCTTCCAGTAACTGTCATGCCTATGAGGAAACGCCAAGACAGGAGCCCTGACGACCTGAGATCTGGATGTGCACACTCTCTCAGTTCCTGGATACAGGACACTGGAGGTAGACCAAGCAGAGTTCTCAGGGGAACACTGCTGGACTGCACCTCACCTCTCCCGGACCCTGTAACCTATCCCTTTACTTGTAAGCTACCCCACAAAATAACCCCCCTTTTTAACTATGTGTAATTGCCTTAATACTTCCACCAATACATGAGATTCAATAATATATCAAATGAGTCTGTTTCAATAATGAAAAGCTTAGCTTTGACTTCATTTGATCTTACTACTTTTGTAAAACTTAATGTAAGCCAAAATAAGTACTCTAAAGCAGTTCATTAAATAATGTAGTTATCAAGTTGAAAGTTTACAAATGATCATAAAGCCACTGTGGCTTGATGTGTTATATACCAGATGCTGAAATATAATAAGTTTTAAAAGGGTTGAATCCATATGGTGAACATTTGAAAAGAAGATTTCTTGTTTGGGTTTGAGTGTCTGGACCATCAGATGGCATGTGTTCTAGAAACAGACATACTCTTAGTCTATATAAATACAGTTTACTTGGAGTCTTTCTACACTCATATTTGGACCCAAACATCTTCACCACCAGCGATCAACTTCTATTGTCCACAAATTCAAAATTACACATTCTCTGGATTTTTGCAGACACATTTTGGTAATTTCTATTACAGTGTAAAGACAACCACTGGATTCTTTTTTTAGTTTTAATATATTTCTTCCCAGTTGAGTTTTGGGGGTACATTTTATCTGTATCTAGCCCAGGATTTGCTGGAAGTTTCTTATGTGTCTGAAATTAAAATTCTATCAGTCAGCACTACAGAAACCTGTCACAACCCCTGGCCTGGTTTAACTTTTAATAGATTTAATAAGATATTCTATGATATTGAAAGAACATGGATGCCTATACGTAGCCACAAAACAACCAGGAGCATCCCAGTTTAGAAACAAAAATAAATCAAAGTCACAAGGTAGAGTAACAATATAACAATTATTGTTTCTTCTAAAACTAAAACTATATTACCAGATATATGTCCAAATTAATTTCACCAAAAACATAAAACAAGGGTATCCTCTATTTCAAATATTTGTTTAGACAAGGTGAAAAACTGAAGTTTGCGCATTTCCAACATGTTATTCTAAGTCCAGTAATCTCAGTAATAATTATACTCTAGTGTATACATGGAATTTAAATAGCCTTTCAATTTATTTTATTTTCAATAAATGAAGAATACATATAAAATCCTTCCATAAATTCATAAGCACTGGTACTCACAGGTGAGATTTTCTATTTTTAGTTCATAGGACTTTACTTTTTCCAATTTTTATTTTCCTTTCCTAAATTAATCACAACATATATCTGATGAAGGGTATACTTTATTTATCATCCCTGTTTTATAAGTAGACACTGGGTAGAGAAATGTTAACTAATATTTACCACCTATTGTATTAAGGATTCAATTTCAGAGAGTCCAACACTTTTGCTTCCACAATTTTCTATGAAAAATATAAAAAAATCGTAACCTATATTGTTAAGTATTGTGTTTAATGACTATGACAGTTTGATATTTATGTGTTAGTTTCAAGAAACATTAAAAGCAGAATGTATGCAACACTTAAAAATTAATTTT